TTAAAATATATATGTTGAGCTTCAATCTTTCAGAAGAAATAAAGATTACGTGCAACGGATGATTACTGGGACAAGTTTCAAAGCCTTTGGTCCATTTTTAATACCTCTCTTGTGTTTACTAACCTGCAGGAAACATCATCATTAAGTAACTAACAATCATTTGAGCCATAAAAAAATATACAGCACAAAAGCATCGGCTAAACCAATTTATAACTGTTAAAAGAAAAAAAAATGTAGCAATATCTGAACTTCAATTCCCAAAAGGCTTGGTAGGTGGCAATGATATATGTTGGAATTGGTTCATCCCAACCAGCTCGACAGGCCATCGAGGAATGACTTAAAGAATGAAAATTTTCAAACGGGAATTTCTAAATAAGTAATAAAGAATTCATTATACAAACTCGAAGAAGTCGAAAAATCGGATCAGAATGGATTACAAACATAAAAGTTCCCTAACTTGAAAAGGGAAAGAGAACCAACAAGCTTACTTGCCTAAACCAACAAACAGATTTTACAAGAATATATAGGTTAGTAGATTAAATAAACAAAAAGAAAAAAATGAATATCAATGGTATCATTTCAGCAGCTTCATTTTGCCTAACCCCACTCAAAGATATTTAAAACCAGTTGTAAAACCATACAATTAGACAACCACAATAAAAATCGATCATATCAATTATCTAACATATCCTTCTTATCTAAGCCCTTTCACCCTAATCCCCAAATCCCTAGATGAGCCCTAAGAACAGCCCCAATGAAAAACGAAAGACAACAAAAAAGAATAGAAACACAAAAAAATAAAAACAAAATAATAATTAAAAAATAATTAAAAAAACAGTGCACTAGAAGCAGCAAGATAGCAATCAACTAAAATTTTCAACACAAATTGTCAAATAATTAAAAAAAATAAAAGCTTGCCTTTTTCTTGGGGACAACCATGAGTTTCATGGCACCACAAGGAAATGGGAAACAAGGTAACTCATCTCTCACGTCTTTGTCGTCATAATCTTCCAGGAAAATCAACAGCGGCAGTGAGGTATTGATCTGAGGGTCGATGGCGGTCGAGCCACGGCAAGGGCCAGCCAACGGAGACCTCCAATGGGCAACCCGCTTTTCTCCCGGCGCTTGTAGCATCGAGGCCCGTAAAGTTATTGAAATGAAAAATCAATAACGGCGACGATTGCCAGAGAAAATAGGTATAGACAGGGTTTAAGTGGTGCAGTCGAGGTATGAACTATACGCGAGTAACGCAAATGTGAAGAAAAAATGATTAATCTATTGAATTATTATTTCAAAATAATTATATATTCATATTATCTATATATAATTTCTGAGTAATCAACAAATTAAGTCTAATTAATAAAACCACAATAAGTTTCTTCTTCATTTTTCATTAATGTAGAACCATTATATTTTACAAAATATATTTGTTTCTCTAATTTATATTTGTATGTGTTTTCATATTACCTGGCACAATTAAAATAATATTAAAAATTATGAAATATACACAATTAGACATTTATATAGAGTGTGAACATGTATACTAGATTTAATCATAACATTAGGAAAGTATTTGTAAAATATTTCTAGTATATTCATTTGAATTAAAAAATTATAAAAGTATTTGTAAAATATTTCTAGGAGATTTTTAAAAAAGTTTGAATAAATTTGTGAAGAGATTAAAAAGATATTGATAATAAATTCAAATAATATAACTTTTTTAAAATATATTTCAAATTTAAAATAAAGAATAAAGTAATTTTTTTACTTATTGGAAAAATATGTATTCAATATTTTTATTACTTATTATTAATTTATAAATTAATTGATTTTTTCATCAACCATAAAAACAATTAAAGGTCTAATTTTTAGAATTTTTAAAATGTAAGTAGTGAAAAGTTGTAAAGTTAATATGACAATTACTACAAAATGAAAATTTTTCGGTTGGAGATGGTCTAAATCAACGAGCATTAGTTAAAAAAATTGGCCTATAATAATGTTCATTCAAAATCATAGCAATTCTTATACACTTATATATCAATGTCTCATTATCATCATCATCTTCGACAGTTAGCATGGTCTTTTGTGCCCTCATCTCGGCCTTTTTGCAATCCTTAGCACCATTTGAGCCTCCAGGTTTTCTGGCATCATCCTCGACTGTCGTGCGACCAGTGTATATTCTCCCTTGCATAATGTTTGTTCAACCACCACTGTTGGGCCAGGACAACAAAAATCTCCCTCACCATCGAGCATGAAATTGGATAAATAGGAGTCATCTTTGATCACCAATCCAAGACGTTGAATTTTGGTGGCAAAACCGGTTCACGAAAAATCGAAAGTATGAAATTCATCGTAAGGTAGTGATCAAGCTCACTGTATCCTTTGCCTTTTGAATCTTAGCATTTTTGTAGGGATTAAAGTCATCCCATCAGTCATCAATGTTTTGGGATTGTTGCATCGTTTGTCCTCATCATTTATAAGAAGAAGACCCGGAAGCAGTTGAAGAAAACGATGTTGAATTCTTCCCGAGTCTGATTGCAGTTTTCTTAAACCATTCGTACAATAAAAAGTTTTACTTGCTCGATGAGCTGTCGTAGGGTAGGTCTTACACTGACATCACACATCATGGATCAAGTAAAGGCCTTAGGTTTTCAACAAGCTACTTCTGATTCACAAACTTGGTATGGGACTAATCCTCATGAAACACCCTTTACGTTCCGCCTCTTAGCCCCCTCTAGGAGGATTTTAGTGGTAGGTTCTGTAGGAACTGGACGATCCCATTTGGTCAAATACCTTGTGGCAAACTCCTATGTTCCTTTTATTACGGTATCTCTGGAGAAGTGCATAATTAACTTGTATTTTGAAGATGATTATTATTTTGAAGATGATGATTATTTTGAGGATGATGATGATTTTGAATTGCCGTGGGAGAGCATCCTTTTTAGTCCTTTGCACAAGATTTTTGCTAGGGACATTGACTATATTGATAATAGCCCTGTTGATGGTAGTGATGGTAGGGAAGTTGAGATGGAGCTGGAATGGCTAGCTGAGGATATGAGGGGAGGGACTGGCACTAGACCGAATCGATATCACCTTTCAATTCGACTTAGCACAAGCATTGTCTCCTTGTATAATCTGGATTCCAAACATTCATGAGCTGGAGTGGGATCGCTTAGCCCTCCGTCTAGTAGCGAAGCATCTCTCTGAAAGTTGCTCCACCAGAAATAATCTTGTTATTGCTTCGACTCATCTTCCCCGAAAATTACCATAGTTTTTAGCGGATAACCCCAATTTAGGTTTAATAGTACATCCCAACAGAGGACGACCATATTTGTTCAATATCTCTCTCACTTTGGATCCCATGAGGCGGGCCTTGAAAAGTTTTAATATAAGCAGGAGGAATTCACAAATCTTCCAGGCGTAGAGCACGCAAGGCTTTGAATCCAAATACATTTCCTACAATGGAAGTAAACATGTTAGTAATAGAACCTTCTTCAAAAAGGTCTAAAGGGTAAGCTACATAACAGATATATTGAATCATTATTCTTAACAATAGGTCCTAGAGACTTTTTGGTTCATCATGCTATTGCTCTGGGTTTACATACAACTACATTGATCCTAGTAAAAGGTGCTTTAGATGCGCGGGGTTCCAAGTTAATGCCAGATTAAAAGGATTTTCGGTTATAGTTTTTCTTGCGATGGCCCGGGACGAGGGGGTACTTGTGATATTTCAGCATGGGATGCATTTTATTTGGCAGTTTTATGGATGTTAAATACTATGGGATGGGTTACTTTTTATTGGCATTGGAAGCTTTCAATTCACCTCTGACCATCAAATAAAATGTGAATAACCCATCCTCCTCTCTTTGAAATCATAGTTACGGTCGCCGTTCACCGGGGCTTCGATCGCCAGCTCTCCTGTCATCAGGTCACCAACTTCCTTGACCTTCCGGCACTGGGCAGGCATCATCCCCCATACATGGTCTTACGACTTTGCGGAGACCTGTGTTTATGGTAAATAGTCGCTCGGGCCTGGTCACTGCGACCCCCTTTGTGAGGAGACACCCCTTCTCCCGAAGTTACGGGGTTATTTTTCTAAGTTCCTTAGAGAGAGTTGTCTCGCGCCCTTAGGTATTCTCTACCTACCCACGTGTGTCGGTTTCGGGTACAGGTACTCTTTTGTTTAAAGGGCGTTCGAGCTTTTCCTGGGAGTATGGCGTGGCTTACTTTACATGTAAGACCTATTGCTCATGCAATTTGGGATCCTCATTTTTGCCAATCGGCCGTGGAAGCTTTTACTCGGGGGGTGCGCCTGGCCCAGTGAATATCGCTTAGAGCTAGGGGTCGTAGACCCAGAAAGAAATAGGTTTATTCTTTGTTAACTTGAATCAGAATTACAATCCAAACTCAAACGCGAGTTGGTGTTTTGTTCGAATCAAAAAAAAAAAAAAATCCCCAGATACCTTCATTGAGCGCAACCCTCGTGTTTAGTTGCCATCGTTGAATTTGGAACCCTGAACAGACTTCCGGCTTATAGTCGGGACATCAATGGGAAGTGAGAGTTGATACATAATATCATAATATGTTTGAAGTTCATTGATCAACCATTGTTCACGTAATAACGGATCTATCAATGCTGCAATTAAAAATGTATAAAAGAATAATATTATTTATTTTCATAACATATCTCTTACAAGTTTGTCATGTAAGTCAGGATCACTGGTAAAAATATATCAAAAACCTCACATTACGGCTACACATTGATTTACAACAAGTTGAGTATTAGGATAGTAAACACAAGAAAATAAATTAGTAGCATCTTGAAATTTTTCTAAAAATTTCATGAGTGTGTTACAATTTACGCAATCGCTGACAGTAACGGTGACATCACAATCATCCTTACGATGAGAACAACGAAAAAATTTCTCTAATTGATAAAAGAAAGCATATGTTTTCAGTAACATTTTATAAGTTGAGTTCCCATGAGTAGGAACGTGTGCGAATTTTTTAGGTGTAATGATTAATTGGATTGTTCAAGTGATTAATTTAACAATTGACAATAAACAATATATATATATATATATATATATATATATATATATATATATATGTATTGTAGAGAACTAGGTTTTACACACAAAAAAATCGAACCAGACGTTCCTACTCGTTGGAACTCAACTTTTAAAATGTTACTGAAAACATATGCATTCTTTTATCAATTAGAGATTTTTATTCGTTGTTCTCATCGTAAGGATGATTGTGATGTCACCGTTACTGTCGGTGATTGCATAAATTGTAACACACTCATGAAATTTTTAGAAAATTTTCAAGATTCTACTAACTTATTTTCTTGTGTTTACTATCCTAAAGCTCAACTTGTTGTAAATCACTGTGTAGCCGTAATGTGCGGTTTTTGATATATTTTTACTAGTGATCCTGACTTGCATGACAAACTTGTGAGAGATATGTTAAGAAAATAAATAAATATTATTCTTTTATACATTTTTAATTGCAGCTTTGATAGATCCGTTGTTACGTGAAAAATGTTTGATCAATCAACTTCAGACATATTATGATATTATGTATCCACTCTCACTTCCCATTGATGTCCCAACTTTTAGTGTAAGACCTACCCTACAACAACTCATCGAGCAAGTAAAACTTTTTATTATACAAATGGTTTAAGAAAAACGCAATCAGACTCGGGAAGAATTCAACGTCGTTTTCTTCAACTGCTTTCGGGTCTTCTTCTTATGGATGATGAGGACAAACGACGCAACAAGCCCAAAACATTGATGACTGATGGGTGACTTTAATCCCTACAAAAATGCTAAGATTCAAAAGGAAAAAGGGACTAGATACAGTGAGCTTGATCACTACCTTACGACGAATTTCATACTTCCGATTTTTCGTGAACCAGTTTCGACACCAAAATTCGACGTCTTGAATTGGTGATCAAAGATGACTCCCATTTATCCAATTCCATGCTCGATGGCGAAGGAGATTTTCGTTGTCCTGGCCCAACAGTGGTGGTTGAACAAGCATTTTGCAAGGGATATACACTGGCAGCACAACAGTCGAGGATGATGCCAGAAAACCTGGAGGCTCAAATGGTGCTAAGGACTGCAAAAAGGCCGAGATGAGGGCACAGAAGACCATGCTAACTGTCGAAGATGATGAAGATAATGAGACATTGATATATAAGTGTATAAGAACTGCTATAATTTTGAATGAACATTACTATAGGCTAATTTTTTCACTAATGTTGTTGATTTAGACCATCTCCAACCGAAAAATCTTCATTTTGTAGTAATTGTCACAACTTTGCAACATTTTCACTACTTACATTTTAACAATTCTAAAAATTAGACCTTTATTTATTTTTATGTTTAATTAAAAAATCAATTAATTTATAAATTAATAATAAGTAATATATATATATATATATATTGAAATTTTATTATTTTATTTTAAACAAAAATCCATATTAAAAATGAAAAATATCATAATATTATTTGTGTGGTATTTTGAAATATTTTATTTGTGTATTAAAATATTCAAATCAATTAAATAAATATAAAAGTATCTAATCATTTTATATGCCTAACAACAACTTTAATGTTAAAAATAACTAAAGATATTGATTGTATAAATGACCTCAACCGGCTGAAACGGCTTGGATCCGCTTTCGACCGATTGATTCAGCCATTCAGGTCGGTCAAAGAATACATATTTTTCCAATAAGTAAAAAAATTACTGTATTCTTTATTTTAAATTTGAAATATATTTTGAAAAAGTTATATGATTTGAATTTATTATCAATATCTTTTTAATCTCTTCACAAATTTTTTCAAACTTTTTTAAAAATCTGATAGAAATATTTTACAAATACTTTTATAATTTTTTAATTCAAATGAACATACTAGAAATATTTTACAAATACTTTCCTAATGTTATGATTAAACCTAGTATAGATGTTCACACTCTATATAAATGTCTAATTGTGCATATATTATACTTTTTAATATTATTTTAATTGTGCCAAGTAATATGAAAACACATATAGATATAAACTAGTCGTTACCCGTGCATTTGCACGGAAAACTATATGATAAAAAATAAAATAATAAAAAATATAAACAATAGTAAAAATTATAACATAATCATTGAAAAAAAAAAAGTTTTAAGAAAGAAAATTCAAATATAATTAAACATTTCTTTATATACAACGTCCATAATTTCTCGAAGCCCAATCTGATTTCTTGATGTAGCCCAATAAAAAAAATTAGTAAGAGAATATTTTAACTAAGCCACAACCCATTATTTTTCTTATAACTTAAGCCCAAACATTCACATCCCATTGTTTTATTAACAATGCCCAGACAAAATCAAACAATAAATTCTTTTTCGGGCCATT